GTCTTCATATGACATTCGAGGCTTATCATCGTCCCTTGATATTTCAAAGAGTGGCGATTGTAAATCTTTATTAACGGGGTCTGTGTAATTTTCCCGGATGTGAAACTTGCTTGTGCATGGTCGAAAGGTTGACGGTTGTCCTGTAGGTAAAATGTTCGTAATTTTGACGTTTTATTCAGAAGGTACGTGCTGCTTATTAATGCAAGTTTCTCCTATCACTACCCAACCCAGTTTCAATGCTTCCTCTGAGTTATGTTAAATGAGGATGATGCATTGTGACTTCAGGAGTAGGAATTTCGTCACTATTATTTGGAATATGATCACAAGGAAGGTCAAATTTGTCATTACCATTTATTGATTCCATGACGAAACCTCTTCCTCTTTTCCCGGAAGTGATTACTCTGCCAGAGCATGTTGACAAGGTATAGTTTTCCGGTTTATCTCGTACGTTAAAAAGACTGAAGAATTCGGGTGAGGCAAGAGACCGGTTGCTTTGGTGGTCAATGATGGCGTACACCCGGATAACTTTGTCCTGATTGTCCTTGTGATAAACATTCACAGGTAGTATTTTAGCACAAGATTGTATCCTTGCATACTTGGTGCAGGTAGGATTAACTGAGGTTGACTTAGTTTCAGCCGATTCTGTTGGCTCCCCGCCGTAGGCTTGTCTGGGCGAGCTAGACTGAGAACGTGCAAGTGGTTGTGGTCTAGTGATGTGAAGTGCGGTGGTATGTTGTTAACTTCCACATTCTTTACAACTGATCACTTCCACATTCTTTACATCTTATGTGTGCATTGCATTCCCGACTTTTGTTTGTGGTTGAATCGCAACACTTGTAACAGACATCGTTTTGTTTCAAAAGACCTTTGTGTTCCTCTATCACCTTGGCTCGGAACGCTCGACATTCATTTAAGGAATGCTTTGTATTGTGCAGAATAAAAGACCTTGTTTGCTGGCGTCTACAGATTGCTGCTCAACCGGTGTTTTATGGGCACCTACTTTAGTCTTAGGGTGAGACGCGAACCTTGGCGGAGCACCTTGTTTATTTAGTGTGACTTTTGACCCAAAGATGAACCCAAGATCGTTTATAATTTTGCTAATTTCACTGATGAATGCAGATAACTCTGTCCGGCGGAAGACAACGTCGTTGTTCAATTTATATCTAGATGCCCTTGTTATCCACTTTTCCTGAAGTCCATAGGGTAGTTTTTCAATGATAGGGTTAATTTTAGATGGTGAGTCAAAATAAGCCAGCAGAGATCCCAGCTTGGGATTTTCCTTGTGATATTCTATTTCTGATAGAATATCAGACAGTTCATAGAGACGTGCGTTGTCCTTGTTTGTTAAGGTTGAAAAGTTGACAAGTTTACTCGTGCATGAGGCCTCCAACATTTCTGGAGCACCATACCGCTCTCCAAGCCTCTTCCATAATCCATGTATGCCTTTTGTAGGGTTATTGGCGTTTGACGCTCTTATGCTAATGGCATGTTTAGCAGACTCTGGCCCGAGCAACTTTATCAGTAGGTCAATCTGTTCAGAGTCAGAAGCTTATAACTCGTCTGTGACGTTTTTGAAGCTAGCTTTCCATGCATGGAAGGATTCTGCCCGGTCGTTAAAGCTTGTTAATCGGGAGAACAGTAGGTCCTTACGTAGGAGAAATCTAGTTATCTCCGATGTACGGTTGATTTGTTGCTGGTGTGCAACAGGGATTTCCTCTGAAACGCCCTGTTTTGGTGTACAGGAAGGATCTTCCTGAAACGCCTTGTTTTTGTATGCCAGTTACTGTTCCCAGATCTGGGATCTTTAAAGTAACTTCTGGTGACTTAGTATATGTAGGCAAGACAGCAGGTGTTTGTGATGGCAAGTTCAAAGCCACGGATGGTACGAACTCTGGTGCTTCATGACTAAGCTCAATCTTAACCGGAGTTTGTTTTATCTTTTGAGGGCTGTAATTTCCTGAACGGCAGTTGGTACAGGATGTTTGTTGACGAAATCTTGCACACGATGGAGCGGGTCTTACGTATCGTCAGGGAGATCGCCAAGCGCTTGGATGTCGTCGTATTCCAGGATACGAGCCTCGGCTTCTGCGGCTGCAGCTTCTCTCCGTGCTTCGAGAAAGTTCAAATTGGCCTTTAGTTCAACCTTTTCCCGGCTAACACGTGCAGCCTTTTGTTCTAGTTGAGCTTTTCTGCGTATGGCCTCTTGTTCTAGTTGAGATTTCCTTTGTGCGGCCTCCAGTTCCATTTGAGTTTTCAGGTACGCGGCCTCTTGTTCTATTTGAACTTTTCTTTGTGCAGCCTCTTGTTCCATTTGAACTTTTCTTTGTACAGCCTCTTGTTTACGTAAGTCTTCTTGTTTCATTTGAACTTTTTAACGTAAGGCTTCTTGTTCTGCTTGAATGGCTTATTGCTCCATTTCGGCTTTGATTTCAGTTTGTCTGAACAGAGCCTGTTCCTCTAATAATGCATCCTGTTTAAGATTCAAAGCATGTTTTTCGGCAAAGACTATTTTTGATTTAGCAGCCTCTGCTTTGGCACGCTTCCTCCGTGCTAGGCTTGACATATCAGAGACGTTGGAGCTTCCGCTGTGTGAGGTTTTCTTACTCTTGGAAGTCCTTGTTTTAGTGGATTTAGCCTTTGTCAGGGCGAGGCGATGCTCGTGTAATGTTTCCATGACCAGATCCACTTTGGACAGACGAATATCTGTTGAAAAATTACATGTATCAATGTCTTTAAGACTGTCCAACGTTCTGGTATTCTTCAAAAATGTCAGGTACTCGTCTATGAGCCTGCGATAATTAGTACAGGCTTGTACAATTTTTTCCTGTGCTGTAAGCAATTGCTGCAGTTCGCTAGGGGGCAAAATCCAATAACTGGAATTCAATACTTGACCAGAGGGCCTCTAGTGTTCTTGATATAACTTGTCACGTTTTTCTGTTTATGTTCCTTTACCTTTATCCGTGAGTTTACGTACTCACCTACTCTCGGCAAATTCTTCTAAGTGTGCAACGTTAGACGGAGTTTCGACAGGCTGTCCAGCATCTATAGTCAGTTTCGCTTTTGCGTGCAGTTCAGTTTCTTGACGCTCAGGGTCATCTTGGCGATCAGCGTGTTCAGGATTCATGTTTTTAATCAACTAACAGATAGAAAAATTAAATAAACTGTTGCCAACGTTGGTAGTTTGCTGCCTGGTACACACAAGTTGTGTTGCGTACTGTCGATGTAACAGGTACGAACGATGCTACGTTGTAGTTCCTTTTCTTGGTATGTATAGACAAGTTTTCGTCAATTTACTGTACGTCAAGGGATGACGCGTTGGTTGTAGCCGTAGAACTGACGTGGAGTGGCGTAACCTGTGAGACACAACAGGCAAGTTGTAGACTTTTTATTGTAATGGCCTAACCATTAAGTATAACCGACGATTGGGCTCAAGCAGAAAAGACTATCATGTGCTGATACTTTAATCAAGAACCAATCTAACAAATGGTAAAAAGCTGAAATACAAAATAAAATACAAATTTACAATGTTTTGAATTAATGTTATGATGAATGAAAAGTCAAATATAATTGATAGCACAGTCCATTGAATGCGAGAAAATGTTGTACTTTCAAGAACAGTTAAATTTCCAGTATTTCACGGAGAAAAGGATCAAATGTGTAAAGAGCCATTTCAAGGCTTCAAATGCAATGTTATAAAATTACCTCACTCTGTGGTTAGCCACAAATTTTGTCCAAGATGACGTCTCTACGAAATATTTCTCGGTATCGTAATGACCTTGCAGTTTTCCTGTAATGGATACGTGTGAGAAATGGAAAAGGTAACGGTGATTTCGATATTTTGAAGTTCTATACGGTTTAAAGATGAATAATCCTTCTAGGTCAGGAACACATAAACAGATTAAGAATAAAATGAAACAAACTATATAAAATGACGAACGAGGTTACAGAATATACACCTTACAATTTTTTATACACAAAGTGAATTTGACCTATTGCTTATGATAATTGAAAAACAGACCAAAACAAAAATGAACCAGGAAAATGAGGTCAAGGTCAGATGATGCATGCCAAAAACAGACATACCTTACAATCATTCCATACACCAAATATAGATGAACTATTGATTATAGTACTTGAAAAACAGACCAAACCACAAAAACTTAACATTGACCAATGAACCATGAAAATGAGGTCAAGGTAAGATGAAACCTGCCAGACCGACATGTAACCATTAGTCATTTTAACACCAAATGTAGTTGACCTATTACTTACAGAACTTGAAAAACAGACCAAAACACAAAAAAATAACATAAAACGATGAACCATGAAAATGAGGTCAAGGTCAGATGATACCTGCCAGACAGACAGGTATACCTTACAATCATTTCATACACCAAATGTAGTTGACCTGTTGCCTATAGTATCTGATAAACAGACCAAAACACCAAAACTTAACATTGAGCAATGTACCATGAAAATGAGTTCAAGGTCAGATGAAACATGCCATACTGACATGTGTCCATTACAGTCATTCCATACACCACATATAGTTGACATGTTGCTTATAGCATTTGAGGAATGGACCTACTCACGTTACTTTAACCTTGATCACTGATCTATGAAATGATGTCGAGGTCAGGTGAACCCTGCCTGACGGACAGATAGACGTTGCAAGGAACCCATATACCAAATATGGTTATCCTATTACTCATAAAATAGGGAAATTCACATGACAATTTTTTTTTCAAGCATTCATTGAACAATGAAAATGAGGTCAGGGACATTGGAAAAATGACAGACGAAAACTTTGTATTTATAAGGTATCTGCATACAAGATATGAAGCATCCAGGTCTTCTATCTTCTGAAATATAAAGCCTTATACAAATAGTTTACGCCGCCGGATAGTAATACCTATGTCTCGCATACTGCGACTTTCGTCGCAGTCGAGACAATATACTAGTCAGGTGAATTGTAAGAACAAATAAATTAACCATCTTACCCCCTATAACATTCAACTGAGTATCATTGCTTTGTGTGGTGTTTACTTGATTCTCGGCTTCACATTTATACACTCTGCCATCTTGGTTGTTGGTATTGAGAATGGTCAAAGCTGGGATATTCAGAGTACCACCGATATACTTGGAAGGATCTCCGACATTTAAAATAGCAAAACTGCTAATGTTGAAATAATACCATGTTACTCTGAAATGAATTGGCCTACCATTAACAACAGTACAGGGAATTGTGATGTTCTCTCCATATATAACAGTGTATGTTCTTTTTGGAATTGAAACTTGTGGTATTCCTAAAATGAAATAAACATTTGGAACTGTACAATTACATTCATTCAGCATATTTTTCTTCATTCTGTTTAGAAATGTGATTATTAATGGTAAATATGCGTTATAGGGGTTTCTATTCAATGCACATTGATAGCTAACAATATCAGCTTCGAGCCATGAAATGAACCTATTAGGCGACCTAGCGAAGCAACCGATCACGAAAGCTTTATATTGCGTCGAACGATGCTATGATGATTGTGCAATCTCTTTCCCTTTCCCCTACCTTTATTAGTTTCACGTTAAGACAGTGGGTACAATAACCTCCATGCATTAAGACGTTGCTGGTAGTATTTAACAACATATTGTGACGTCAATGTGAACTATTTTCATACATTGTGATGTCGCTGAAAATTTCTGCGCACATCCCAAATACATGATACGACAATTATAGAGCGACTGAGCAAATATGATATAGGCTTAGGGAATTACGTTAAAGAATATCGGTTATACTACTGCGACAGTAGTAAACCGATATTTAAAATTCGTAAATCGATTCTTCAGAGACAAATCAAGGTAACAAACAGAAATGGAGGGAACCGCATGAACACCATATGAGCATAACTTGATGTAACGTAAATTTCAGTCCATTTCCGGATAACTATGTTGGATTAGTTTTTGAGTAAAAAATACTCCCCTGTTAATGAAATCTTATAGTGTGACCATGCACGAGGAGTGTTAAGTATTAATTGAGATATGTAAACGCCATACGATGGAGCAAGTTGTATGTTACTGCTGAGAAATAAGAAGTTGACAATTGGAAAGTTGAAATCATCACGTTTTTCACAGGTTCTAGTTTCAAGTTGTCCAACTGTGTCAATATCGATGAAAAGATATGAACCAGACCTTTTACTTTCTGGTGTGTCCTTCATTTCAAGTTCATATGGATATATGAGATGTACGCACTCATTGAAATATGGGTTTTTGATCCTGAGTGACAGAACGTCATTAGTTTATCTAAAAGTGAAGTTGAAGAACTCTGCAAGATTTTTTATTTCTTTTTTTCTTTTAGAAGGTTCTGTATTAATTCTGCTTGATATGAGTCGGCCAGTAATGATGCAAAATTAGTAACCCTTATGATACCGACTGTCTGCAGAAATACATTTCCACTAAACTCAACAAATATGTTGTCAATTAAACAATAGGCCCGAGAACACAGTTATTTCGTAGTGCATTTCATTTAGACAATAAATTCAAATTAAAAAAATAGCACCTGCTCTATCTCAAAAAGATTTTTACAGTGTAGAGTACTACTATTGGGACAAATAATATCAAAATTATAGAAAAGTCTACCAGCTCTAACTCAAAACATTGACAATTATGTGTTAAGGGGGTCTAAAATTCAGTTTGACAGCTTCGGACATACTAGTTTTTGACCTCTTTTAACTGGACCAAACCACTACTTAACAGAAAGATTCAGTACCCAAATATCTTTAACGTGTAATTTCATCCCCTTACTTAATATTTCATGCATAAAATATAAAAAAATAAATTTGGAAAGTGCATGAAAACAAATTGCAAGTTATACACTGTCCACACTAAGGACTATATTTGTAGACAACGAAAATCTAAGGACGATAACTGTGTCCTCGGACCAATATTTTGATGATTTAGTCATCGGTGTGTTTGTTGTGGGACTCAGTGAGGTTCTTCTAAAAGTTATATTTTTTTCTGAATAATCAAAAGTGAAAACGTCCTCAGATACAGTTTACCCAAGTTTGACTGATGTCTTTAACCCAATTGGTTCATGTTAATACAAACATATTAAAGTATTACGACTTCATACACTCTGAAGAATGGAATAACGATGCAAACATTAAATTCAAGATTAGCAATATTAGTGCACACTATAATAAATAGTGGTCATTATATCAGCCACGCTCGAGGAAATAAGGTGAAATTGAAAAGCAAATAATAAGTTATATATCAATGCTCTGAAAGTGATAACATGTGAACATCCATCTTCCAATCAATGCCTGAGTTCTGTATCAGATTAGCGTGTTTACGATACCTTAGAGGACAACTGCGAGCATTTTTAATCCGACATTTCTATTTGCCATGGCGTAGTCAGTAGTAGTATTTTCGACTTGTGAGTTTGAATGACCTTTTGGTATATTTCGCTTCCCTTTTATGACACAAAAAATATGAATAACTCAAAAATAAACCAAGGAACTGATTTATGTTGAAATCAAAAATCAAAGAAAAAATAAGGCAGTGAGCACCTAACAACAACAATTGAATAACTGATTCCAAGACTTCAGAGATTCACATAACGAATGTGGCAGTGGTCAAAATATTGTTAAGCGCTAAACCTTCCCACTAACCTAGTCTGCGGTGTAACAGCACAAATATAAGTACAAATTATAAGATAAGTTGGAAAGGGCTTGACTCGTTATTTCGACTCTAAGGCAAATAACACCCTGCTAATAAAGAAAAAAAACATAAAGTACTGATTTAAGAGTATTAGCAATTACATATACCCAGTTTAAAATAATAATTGAGATGTCTTATGGTTGCCGATGAAACAACCATCCACCACAGAGCAAAAAAAGAATCTATTGTCAATATAAATTTAATATTACCTGACAAAATCAAACGCTTTACTATATCAACCAACAAAACGAATGGAAAACAACTGTCATATTCCTGACGTTGTACAGACATTTTCCGACAAAAAATGATGAGTTAATTCATATTGTATAGGTAGCTCAACCCCCCACTTGTATGAAAGTTGTTTGATGAGTAACCTAAACGATGAGGATGTGAATAACAATAGATCCAATCCATTAAAATATCAATCAATATCCCCATCGAATTGAGTGTAAATTTGTCATAAGGACTTAATATTACGAATGCTAAAACATTAGGATAGGTAGTATGTAGGACCATTAGCGTTCAACTGTATAAAATACTTTGACCATTCATTGAATAGTAGAGGATGTTAGATTGTACAATCACAGAAAATTATCGTCATAAGTACAGTAGTTAAAAGTAGTTATCGGATGACAGGCACCAATATATTGCAATGTTTAATTTTGTCCCTCGAATAAGGTTATCAAATACGAATAAGGAGTCATATATACATCATGTTTTCTAAGATTACACTTTTACATAATTCTGAGGAAAAAATAATAATATATTTTTTTCTATGAACAAAATTGGTGTCATGTTAAATTCAGTAGCTAGTAATGAGTGTTTTATACTTAATTTAAAATCGAATTTTGTTTGGACGTTGCCAAATTGGATTTGCACTACTAATATATACGAATAGTAGATTTGGTGTAACTTCTATTTACATCCCGTCATTGTGTTATTGTGATATGGTAAAATGTTGTATTCTTGTCTTTCGTTTTTGCTGGTGAGCTTTGTTTGTGTGCCTTTTTTGTTTTTCTTTGTTACATATTTGTTTTTTTATAGTGATTGAGATTATAACACAATGTTGACTGCTGTGCCCCTATTTTTGACATTTGTGCCTGTTGTGTCTATTTTGTTCACACATCGTTGTCAATACAATGGAATTTTATGCTACTGTCATACAAGTCAGAGGTTTAGCTAGCTATAAAACTGGGTTTAATCTACCATTTTCTACATAAGAAAATGCCTTTACCAAGTCGGAAATATAACAATTGTTATCCATTCGATTGATGTGTTTGAGCTTTTGATTTTGCCATTTGATTACGGACTTTCCGTTTTGAATTTTCCTCGGAGTCCGGCATTTATGTTATTTTACTTATTAGACAACTGTCCACTAAATGGCCAAAGTACAATGATTTAAAACTTCAAGCGGCCTTCATTGACAAGAAAAACATAAACCATATATATAAAGCTACAAAATGCACCAATAAAACAATGTTAAGGTGGATGTCGGTCATAATTAAAATCCATAGAATTTTAATTTGTCAGAATGTTTTTTTTATTCATGCTTTTTCTAAAACATAATAACAAGTATGGGTCACCGGTCTTTTTTCGCGCTACAGTATGTGCAAAATTGTCAGATTTTTTATAGATTATGCATGGAAAATCCAATTTTGTGTGACAAAAAGAAAACTACACCATAGAATTTTACGATACAATGTGAGAAGATCGCTCTTATAGCATGCTTTCAGATAAGAAAAAGAAAAAATGGGGTCACCGGACTTTTTTCTTGCTACATTTTGCTAAAATATGTAAATTCACAACACATTCTATTATAAAAATTACTTTATCTGAGTTATCTCCCCTATTATCTGAGTTATTTTCCCTTACGTGGCAAAGTTGAAAAAAAAATCAATCAAACAAAAATACTGTGTTTTTTCAGAAAATATAGCCGCAAATATGAAAAAAAACCACATGATTTTCTATATTAACATGAAAAGTCTTACACATGAATTACATACTACTCTCAAAATTTACACATTTCATTAAAAGTCTAGACCAATTCTTATCTGCTACTTCAAAATCCAAGATGGAGGAAGACATCCCATCCACCTTAAACAGTACAACTGAACAAACTAACAACCTGATTTAGAATATGACAGACTTTTTACAATTTCACTATTGTTCAAAAGACTCTTCGATTGTGTTACAAATAATTTCTTTTCTATATTGATATACTACAATTAAAAATGAATTGTTATTCAAGGGGATGAATAGAAGTACTAATGATGAGTAAAGTTCCAGTAAAAATTGTTTTAATCTAAAGGAAATAACTTACTTCCTAAGACACCAACTCTGACATAATTACTAAATCCAGTACCAACTGCATTTGTGGCGAAACAAGTATAATTTGCTTCATCGTCGAATTCAATATTTGAAATTGTCAAATTTGACGTTTTCTGTGAATTAACAATATGATATTTTCCATTACTGTTTAATGCATCTATTATTGTAAAAGCTTGGCCACTCATGTTAAATCTTCTCCATCCAACAGATGTAGCTTCCGGGAATGACGACACCTTACTAAGGATTGTCACAGAAGAGACACCATAATCTGCAAACTGTATCGATGGACTTGCAGTGACGTTTGGTAAACCTATGAACAAAAAGATTATATATCGTTTAAAACATACATCTTTTACCCAGTTTCTCGATAAAAACATTTTTACAATGACAGCGTTTGTATTGAACATTTCTTATTTGTACAGATTTGGCCTAACCAAGAAGCTTTGTTAAATAAAAATTCGTATATCACAAACAGTGATCAACATATAGACAGTGTAGGAATAGCAATATCATTAACGATACCAATTATATTGCATTATATGCGCGTTTTTATAAGTAATGTCATCTCAATGATGCTAATGCCAAACTGTTTAAAACTCCAACCCGAATAAAAACTTTCTAGAGCTGATAAAACATAAAAGGACCAAAAGCAAATGTATGCATTATAGTTTACATTGCATGTAAAGGTGCTGTATGGATAGATGTGTGAAAGTTTCAATTCAATTTATTATTTGTTTATTTCGTTGATTAACAATTAAAAGTGTGAAAAAAAACTCATCAAAGATACTAGGTTTCAAATTTGGTTCACTAGGCGTGCGTTTCGCCCACATAAGACTCATCAGTGATGCTCGCATAAAAATAGCTAAAAGGCCAATCAAATACAAAGTGAACACAGGAAATAAGACTGTCGTGACTGAAGTGTGAATAAATACATATAGTGATTTTTTTTATTTTCTGTTTTCACACATTTTTTTAACATTATAACCTATTTGTAGCGTGGAAAAAAACACTAGCATGTTAAACTGTTTTGTATTCCAATATTAGGACATACAGAACAGTGAAAAATAAAATAAAAGTTTCAGCAGATAATTTTGGGACAACATTACAACAATTCATGAATAGTAAAAATTGAAAAAAAACTTACTGCCTAAAATTTTAACTCTAGCATTTTCACTAAATCCAGTTCCAACTGTATTTGTTGCAAAACATATATAATTAGCATCATCTTTAAGGGTTATATTGTTAATTGTCAATTGTGATGTTGTATCGAAGTAAAAAATGGAATATTTTCCATCACTTCCTAGCGCTAATGTAGTATTCGTCAGGCCGTCCAATGATACCTTTCTCCACCCGGTCGATTTTGCCTTCGGTAATACCGACACATTACACATAATTATTACTGGAAAAGCACTTGTGTTTACATACTGTATTGATGGACTCACAACAACATTTGGTAAACCTGGTACAAATATAAATGACCGAAAGTAATGAGACATATACTAAATCGATTTGTTTCAGAAAATATATACAAAAGCAGACAAATTGGATGTTACGCATATATTATAAACCAACCTGAAAACAATGCAACGCTTTCTTTCTTCCTCAAAATTTTTATCCGAGTCTTTAATTATTAAAAATCATATCTGATGCATCCAATGATTTTTTTCCGATTGCTCAAGTGTACATGAAAGAAATTAAAAGAAGGAAAGCCGAAATTTTCATAAATGGTCGACATCGAAATATTTGTATAGCAGTCATCAAATAAATGTATATTGCAGGTTTAAAAAAAATGAAATTCAAATTTGAATTCATTTAAGTTCTTTTTATATAAAATGTAATGTTAAAAATTATAAAATCAATAGATATACATTTGAAATTAAAAAAAAACGAACAATTGAATTTGCATATGCTGTATCAAAATATCAATATATTGCAACACAATTTCAGTCAGTTCATTCACAACATGTTAAGTAGAATTGATTTAAATTTCTAACCTAAAGCATTACAGTGTATACTTCAAACCAATGCAAAAATAGACTATATAATACTTTCATGTTCAAACATAGACGACAGGAGTGTTTTCGGACAAGATAAAAAGGAATGCCAAAAATTAAATTGGGATTGTAAAATGATTTTACCATGGGTTGGCACTTTATGTTAGATAATTTACCACGAGCAGTAGTGATTTTTTTTCTACTCTAATAGGACATAGATTGCAATATTTTTGGATCAAATCACTCTAGGTGAAGGCAAATAGTTGCAGTTCCCGTAATTGAACACATTATTGTTATTGACGTAAAGGACGGAGAAAACTGAATTAGTGACATGCTTAAACGATTGGCAATAACATACTTTGTCTATGACAGGTTTGGATAAAGTTAAATGATTATGAAACGTAATTATTGTATGTCTTTCTGTCGGAAAAAGGGAGTTGATATCTTTCTTTTTTAAACGGACCAATGAAGAAGGTAAAGTTTATAAGTACTTGTGACTGCAAGCCACAACGAAATATTTTAGACCTATATCGATTTCATTTGAATAACTAATTACTTGATTACTGAGCCAATTTAATATATATTACTTTTATTTGAGAACATGGGCTTTCAACAAATTCTTATCATCGTTTGTTTATGTTTCCATGTTTTAACGATTTTTACATTCGTGCATTTCTCCGTAGACTGATTATATTCTCACCTCACAGTTAGAGTCGATCGTTCCATAGCAGTGTTTACACGGATTGACCTCTAGTAACTCATTCATAAAGACATTTTTTATTATATTATGAATATTTTCCAATGCAAATTTTTATGGTATACACAGCAATGAAATATTGTACATTAGTTTCAGCAGATAGTTTTAGGACAATGAAATCACTCTTAAATCAGAAACTTCAAACCATAGTTATTCTACCAGAATAAACTTACTGTCAGTAACATCAACTCGCGCATTATTACTTAATCCAGTACCAACTTCATTTGTAGCGAAACATATATAATTTGCGTCATCATTCAAATCAATATTGTAAATTTGCAAAACTGACGTTGTTTCTGTTGTCTCGATGGAATATTTTTTAATTCTTTCTAGTGCGTCGATAGAAGTATTTTTCAGACCATCCACGGACAACTTTCTCCACCTAATAGCTGTTATCCATTCAGGGTATGCCGACACATTACACATAATTTTAACTGAGTAATCATCTGAGTTTGCAAATTGTAATGATGGACTTGCAGTAATGTTTGGTGCATCTGTAAACAAAAAGATTATAACGAGTATAAGACAAACAATTGCTTAAAGTTGACTACTTCCACGTCATTTGATTTTTGGTGGAAAGTCGTCTCATTGACAAGCATGCCACATCTTCTTATTTTTATACAGTCAGTCTTCTTGTCGATTTTTTTTATTCAAAAAGTTTCAAAAGTTTTATTGGAGATTTATTGGTTTAAAACGTGAAAAAAGTAAAATAACAAAAATACCGAACTCCAAGGAAAATTAAAAACGGAAAGTCCCTTATCAAATGGCAAAATCAAAAGCTCAGAAACATCAAACGAATGGAAAAGAACTGCAATGTCCTTCATTGATATTTTTTAGTCCTTAAATATATTTACAAACAATAATCACTGGTTATATTAATGACCTCCATCTTATTGAGAGTACACAGGAAAGATTTCAAAGAAAAAGTCGAAAGAAATGTTCGTATAAATAATCATTATACAAGAAAATGATAAATAAATCATGATCAGATTTTATCATTATATTTTGAAAAAAAAATTGACATTGACGACGTCAATTTGTTGAACCGAAATACTTCTTACTGTAACATCGCTAACGATTCTCGCATCACAAATATTTTGATGTGTATATATAGATATATAGATTCATCTTAAAATCGTTCAACACTACAATTTAGTTAAAACATAATATTTAATATAAAAACAAACACACGTTTTTATACATCTAAAATTTAGTTATTATACAGATCACATTTATACATCATCAACTGAAAACAGAAAAGAAACCGCAATGATATCTTATCAATCTTTTTCCTTAAATATGTATCCCCATATGATAATTAAAGAGTCGGACTCGAAAAGGTGACAATGGTATAACAACAAAACTATGCTGAAAGTAAGTATTTAAAAAAAAATACAAAGATGTTGTAACTGTGTTAGGATACACATAACACTATAAGATGTAAAAAGTGACGCCTATTTAGGACAATAATAAGCTAAAGTGAAATGCAACTTGACAGTTAAAAACGAGATACAAGTGAATAAAGTAACATAGTTGTGGCATTGGTTCTGTAAAGTACAGAAAGTGGGACATTCACTCAATATGTGCTTTGGAGTATTCATTGAACAATTGCTGTGTATGTAAAAACAAATACTCCGTATGTTGAGTCATTTACTTCAATATAGTACATATCCTGTTAGTAGACTCTATGTTTCTGAGGATAAAATGGTCCGTTTTGTAGTCAAAGCTTTGGCAATAACATCATGTTATATTCATTCTTAGAAAGGACTCAAAATGAATAAAGGGGCATGGCCAACTACCAATATGTTTGTTTTCCTTATGGTGTCAACCTCTTTCGTCGGATTTTATTTGCCATGTTATTGTCTTTTTTCTTTGATATATAGTTTTGATTGCCCAACTTATTGACATTTTTTTCTAAAATGGCCCAAGTATGAAATGATATTTAGAAAATGTTCCCTGCTTCTGAGTCTCTGAAAGTCAGTGTTGTGGTCAAGAATATCTTTAGATCTTTTTTTCTTGTTGAGTGTGTTAAAAAGGGGTTTTCTATATTAGATTTTGGTTTATACTCAAGTGTTGGTATGATGATACCATTTAGTTATCTAAATCATGGTTAGCCCCCCAAAAAACAAAAAAAAATATCGAAATTATAATTGTAGGTTGCTAAATTATTGAGCCGAAAAGCATAAAACTAAAAATAATTGGAAACAATATAAAGCCCCAAATGTCCTCAAAAATGTTTGGCCAAAACATTAAGAACATCAAATTTCTGCACGTACAATGTAACACCTTGTATTATTTCAGGCTTTGAACAAGCGTCCGGTAAACAATATTCAGATGAATTTTCAGACATGATTTATATGTAGGACTCTGAAGCGCGATGGTACTCTAAACCGCTGAAGTGCTATGGTTGGACGCTGATGTGCGTTTTTGTATTTCTCTGTCCTGGGTGTTCTAGCGTTTATTTGTACTATATTCCTGTCACGTAATGTTGTCATTTTAGTGGTATTTTTAACATTGCCATCTAAGCGGGAGGTTTGGCTAGCCATAAAATCAGGTTCAACCCACCATTTCTTCTTAAAATGTCCTGTACCAAGTCTGGAGTTTGGCAGTTGTTATTAAATATATATATATATATAGTCCGCTTCTATGTATGTTGGTGTTTTTTGTTTTTTTTTTGTTGCAGTTCAGTGTTTTTGTTGTTCCGTTGTTTTCCTCTTATAGTTGATGTGTTTCCCTCGGTTTAAGTTTGTAACCCTGATTTGTTTTCGCTTAATCGATTTATGACTATTGAACAGCGGTATACTGTTGCCTTTATTTGATCACGCTGAAGTGCGATGGTGGCATTGTGACGCTATCTTGTTGATAGCTACGCCTAAGTGCAATGGTGGTAATGCTGAAGTGTGATGAACTAAATAAACTATATTTTTAATGTTTTTTATGTCTACTGTGTAGAAGGCAATTTGTTTGATTTAGGTCGACGATACATTGTGTTACTGTAGAAGCAGTTTTTTTTTATGTTAATAAGGGGCTTATAAACTACGGGAAACGGAGAGTGATTGGTAGAGAGGGGAAAGTAACGTTCTGTAGCGATTTTTTTTCGAAATCTACAAAAGGTTCTAGTTTACGTACGATAGAGCGTGGCATTATTCTCTAAATACATACGGGTCCGTAAACAAACTCTCCGTATTATAATATTACTGTAAACGAGGAACTCATGATTTGATGATTTTGATTTTTGGTGTTTTAACGCCACTTTTAAGCACCGCTTTTGGGCAATTTCGTGGCGGCCAGTTTTTATTGGTGGAGGAAGCCGGAGTGCCCGTAGAAAACCACCTACCTTCGATAAGAAAACTGACAATCCTAGTCAATTAAGATTGGAGTCGAGTGCACCCGCACGAGCGGGGTTCCAACTCACAACCTCAGTGTTGAATGGCTAGTGATTACAGTAGTAACTACTTAGACCACTCGGCAACCGAGGCCCCTAGGAACTCATGAGAGGAACCAGGTAAAAATAAAATTTTAAAACAGAATTATGTTCACATACAGAAAATCAAAGAGGACGATCTCTCATTTAGTATGCAAGTGTAACTAAGGACAGGCATGGACAATAATGAAAATTTCATTTACTAACTATAAAACAATTAAATAATTGCACATCTGGAGATTTTAAACAAACAGTCACGCGTCATATAGACCATCGCTCATCAGCGAACGGACCATCGCACTTCGGCACAGACCATCGCACTTCAACGTGACCATCGCAGATCGGCGTCACCATTGCACCTCCGAGTTCTACATATATGTTTGGATTACATTGGTAGTTTAATATCGTTTTAGTAAATACGTAAATATGTGCAAAATTCAAGAAAATTTATGTTCGAAGCCAATATGTATAAAAAATTAAATCTTAATACAAACTTGATGAGCAGATGTATCCGAAAAGAACCTAAAATTTACAAACACGCACGCATTAAGAGAATTAGAGAAATAAATTCTTATATTTCAAAACTTTAAAACAACAAATTTCAATAAAAACAACATTCGCATGTTCATGTCAATGGCGAAAACTGAAATACTGAGATTGCAATACCCTCGGGAGCTTATAGTCCATTAGCAGAGGTATCGACCCAGTAGTAGTAATAACATTAACATAAATGGTATTAGCTTCATTGCACCAGATGAGCATTGTGAAAATCGATGTATTTTAAGTGATGTTCGGGACCAATATGTCTGACAGTCTAAAACATAATACAAACGTTTCATGAAGAGCAGATTTAACCATAAAGGGTCAAAAGTGTAGCCACACCCGGACAAGGAATCACAGCAATGCTTGCGAGATATACATTACTTAACTTTTTTTGAATAAGGCAACAACAAAACACTTCTTTCTGGTTGTGGTAATTAGGTAATTCACAACTTGATTAACCGAAACTCGTCTTATAAGTATTGAAACTAAAGGGAGGTATTCTTGCTTGATATTACAGAAATTACTAGTATAATGTTAAATTGTGCTGATGATGAATGTGTATGCTGGTATGCATGAATAGTTTTTCTTATGAGATATAACCGCAGATACTACATATTTCTGGGGTTTTTTCCGTGACAGATATCACCTAGTGCATATTTACAGGTTTTAGACGTTTTAAATGCCTGTCATTACAATTTTGTACTCACAGAAGACTTCCACAGGTGTATAACTGAAAAATCCCTGTTTGCTGTTGCGAGCTTGACATGCAAATACACTCAGGTGAACGTTTTTACTGACATTAAACGTCAAAGATGCTATCACCGTCGATCCATTAGTTATGGTAGAAACACCATCAGTAATTTCTATGTCATCTATGAGCCATCTTATTGTTGGTAATGGACTCCATCCGGTGGAAGAGCAATTGAATGTAACGTTAGTACCTAAAAGTAGTACCTTAGGTCTAGTGATGATTGGTTTTCCAGGATCAGACTGGCTTGTTGCTTCAAATAAATGTGTATTAAGTAAATATTGTTATATAATTGGCATACAGTGATTTGAACAGGAAAATAATTTATAATCAGAATATGTTTATTTTCATGTTTTGTTTTTTTTTTAAATTAGTACAATCTGTAAAATTCATTATTTTAGACACTGCTTAAACATTTTATGAATTTTGTAAGGTAGAATACAAACTTTAATCGGTCGTATAACAGAAAGAAAAAAACATAAGAAAAATGAGGATATGTGGTATGATGTAAAATAGACAACTATCCTACAGTGACCAAAGGAAGAGGAGGTAAACAACTTTAGCTTACCATACGTCCTCCAACAATAATTGCAACGTATAAAACCTGTTTGACGAATTTTCTAGAAAAGGCATAGTTTCTTATATGTTATTTTTTATTAGAAAATGGCAAAAAGTTATAGTATCCATATGTTTTGTTTTATGTTGCTTGAAACGTTTAGAATATATTTAAAGATTAGCCAAAACATGAATATATACAACATACGTTAACATTTGGATATTATAAAACTACAAGAAAAACAGCAAGAACAGTGAAATAAGTGGAAATAAGATATTCTCTCGAACTGCCTGGTTACATCCACATTTTTCGCAAATCTATGGCAGTATGAATTTCCCTATATACATTCAATAACGTACACTTCCTTTTTATATGACGGTCAACACCGTGTGCCTTAAAGTTTTGCAATGTCGGAAAAATAAACGGCCATATTCGATTGATTGAATTTATTAACAAAGATTATTATAGTGAAAGGACATTCCATTAAGGCCATTTACAAACATTGCTTGTGTTTCCAATTTTATAATACTACTATTTCGATATCTAATTTCAAAACCATCTTTTTTAAAAAGTCTTCAACAAGTCTGTTAAACATGTAGACGCAAAAATTAGAAGTTTAATAGTCCAAACGGTAAATAGTATGTTTAATTCTTGTAATAACAATTGTATGCAGTTGATAGTACATACCAATCAAGAGTACCATATAAAACACTTCCAAAAATAACAAAAATCCCATTCTAACATAACCACAAAATGATTTTGTTTTAAATATTCGTATTTCCATCAACGCAATCGATGCATATTTAAACATACATTTATTAATTTCTCATCAAAGACCCCATTTAACTAGCTAGATTCCTATAAAGACATCATTGAACTTCAATGTTTTATTTAAATAAAATTTGACCTTTAATTATTCGTAAATTTTACAATATAGGAGCCATCGTAGAATAAAATAAAATCTTTCAAATCTGGTCCATTTACGTCAGTTTTGAATATGATATAGAAATGATCAATTAGTGATTTAATAAAGAGACAAAGGGTGCAATACAATTATATAAGATTGTAAAATGTACCATACATAGATGTAGATATCATGAAATCTTTTATCAGTGTTAAACCGTAGTGTTCAGTATTATAAATCTGAGCTGATAAAGTGATAGGTTTGATAAACGTTTATCAGTACTGCTGACTGTTATCAGTATTTTGTTTAAGGTTTTTTTCAACTACATAGTAGAATACCCTTTCAAGTTTTCAATTGAGGTTTTGTTCATTTGCTTATCATAGAGTGTTCTGCTACTGATAACAAAAGTTCAAAAAGTGTTTTTGTTTTTTTTTATTTATTAATAAATTGCTTCGCTGAGCGCAGCTGGATACGACCGCAGATGTCCAACCCTGAAAAGTTGGGGCCAAAATGGACACAATATTCACGCTTGATACAGGTTTGAATTTGGATTGTAACTAAATATTTGACACATAATAGGTTTCTGCCACAGAATAACTGTCGTCAAAGAACTTAGAAATTGGTTATATGATTTGAATTTATATTCAGTTTTTTGCTTTTGTGCAATACACTATGCTGTTGTGAATTGCAACCATAATTACCCTTTTAAATACCTCATACAAGTCTTAAAATATTAAATGACATACATAGTCATGGCTAAAATTAATATTAATTAATAGCAACTTTTGAAAATAAATTGACAGCTAATCACCTCAAGACAATCATCATTTCTTAATACATAATTTACAAGCAGTGTAAGGGAGGTAATCAAACATTGTTGTTTTAAATTGGGATTGGATTACCTCCCTTAGACTGCTTTAAATTGTCTTAATTGTCCTTTAACCAGAAAAAATATTGTTCTTCTCCCTTTTTGCCTCTAATTCCTAAATGGTTTGAGCCATAACCCCCCCCCCCCCCCCCTAGTCAATCCTAACCCATCCCTTTGTTGTATGGAAACTTGTGGTATAATTTCAGAGAGATTCATACACTTTAACACAAGTTATTGTCTGGAAATTACAAAAATGCTTATTTGGACCCCTTTTTTGGCCCTAATTCCTAAACAGTTGAGACCATAACCCCCAAAATCAATCCCAACCATCCTTTAGTGGTTATAAACCTTGTGTTAAAATTTTATTGATTTCAATTTACTTATACTAAAGAAATTATCCGGAAACCATCTGTCTTCGGACGACTCTGTTGACGACGACGACGACGACAATGTGATACCAATATACGACCAAAAATATTTTAATTTTTGCAGTCGTATAAAAAGTCCCTGATAGTGAAAGTTTTATAGGTATCTCAATACTGCATGTAACTGAATTTAATTCAATTTGTTAGAATAGAATTGCAGAAAACCTCAATTTTTTTACATCAATTTCGCCAACGGTACTCTGCATATTTCGTCGACCATTATAGTTAAGCAATTCAGGAATTCTTTGTATTGTAAACAATTCTTTATGAATGAATTTCTGCATTAAGAAGCCTTATTAGTGCCACGCTTACTAGTTAATGGGTAGCCTAAAATAATCATCATGTGTGTCTGTCCGTGATTCCTTCTATATCGTAAGATAAATCTAGATAACCTCAACCGAATTCCATTAGCATTATGCACAATGTTACTACTCATTTTAGGATGGTTTATTCAGATTTTTTGCAATACTTTGACAAAGATTACGGTAATAAACTTTCAATAGTTTTTGATACAAAATCCTAAATTTTGAGAACAAAAAATCGATAAACATTTATTAAAATTGACACATAGGTTATATGTTTTTCCAAAAAATTCAAATGCCAAAAAAACAATTTTGTGTGATAATTTGGGGAAATAAATTGTTAAAACTCTTTCTTTTTTAAATTCACAAATTTGAAAACCATTTTATGTTTTAGTATGTTTGCTATATGTATAAAATATCTTAAATTGGTTTCTGGTGTCAATATTGTGGTAACAACTTAGTGAAAGGTGATATGTAGGTATAATTTCCAATTTGGATTATCTGTGTCAAAAAATATTGGTGGGTTAATACCCTTACTACCAACCTCATAAACCCAACCCAATTTACCTGTGACTATTAGTATAATAGTCCTAGAATTAACGAAATAACCACTGCATGCATAGTGCTTGGATTTAAATAAAACTTTAAGTTTCCTCTTTTCTGTTGCAAATAATTATGACAATGTATATCCGTGAACATTTATGAATTTGTTTTCATCAGTGATAATTATTCGTTTCTGTGCATCGCACAAAAATGTTCTCACACAATTATATGCAAGCGGATCCATGTCGGTTTTCTAGTTTTCAATATATTTTTCATTCGTCCAGTTGAATGATAAAGACTAAAGTCAATCAGGTACATGCATCGCTAAAACGATTGTAAAGTACCAACTTCAAAACAATTATTTTATCAGAGTTAAAGGATAAAGTTTAAAGTCACAGATTTTCTTTCGTTTGAACATTTTTCCTCATATCATCGTTTTAAGAAAAAGGGGAGACGTATAACTATGCTTCAAACACGTGCGTCGCTAAAACTATTGTGAAGTACACACTTCAAAACAATTATTTCTATCAAAGTTGAAAATAATTCCTTTAGGTGACATGTGACACCATTTAATCACATTATTTCATTTAACAATACAATCAACACCTTTAATAATTAGTCTATTGTTGTTGATAGCATTCAGCTGATTATTAATTTTCTATCAAAATTGTAAGGAGTTCAAGGTCAATTCCCAGTATTGTCTGATCAGGAGAAAAAACCGAGAAACCTGAAAATAGTACACAATATGGATGAAATAAAAACCGTTATATTTCTTTCGGCAATAATGAATTTTAATCGCCACAATTTTTTCCCCCGTGCAATTGTAATCTTGGTATTATATGTATGACAGTTTTTCTATTTCTAAGCCAATTTATTCTTTTCCTGACCTGTTGATTATTTTTATTTAACCAACCTGTGGTTTGTTTGTTCTCAGGTTTTCATTGGTAAAAATTCAATTCTGACGTCAATGTTCTTGCTTTCCTCTGAATTTCTCATTGAGCGTCAAGAAAAAAGGCTACCATGCCTGATGAACACATCTTTTTGCAGATCTGACATTAGAAAAGAAGGATTATGTTTGTCTGCATATCGTCTAAAACTCATTAGAGAAACTAAATCTGCCGCCAAATATCGTTCAATACGATATTTCTCCACTCTCGACAGCTATATTTTACATATTTAAAATGCTCAGCAATCGTCATGTTTTATATTTGAAAATTAACTGTCTCGAGAGTAGATAAATATTGTATCACACTCGATGCAGTGGTAAAATATATATATATATATATATATATATATATATATATATATATATATATATATATATATATCAATTCATCAAAAAGACAATAAGGAATTTTGTAATATTTTATTTTAACAGACTTCTTGTCTGTCTGTATCACAGCAATGCCAAGCTGACAGAACTAAAACAAAATATTATAAAAATGATTAACTACAAATGACAATGATACTACATCTACTCAATAAAAGATTCTTCTCCTTAGTTCATTAAAATAAAATCTTTGTGAAGTTTGTTAGAAACAAACCAGATTTCACTTCTGTAAAATGCTTTGCAATTGAAAATAAATCAGACAAAATATTCCCTGACCTAAATCAGATCAAAATCAGGGTTAACAAATGAATGG